AGGAAAAATTAAAATGAGTGTGAAAAAGAAAAAATGCTATGTTCTGTTTCTTCCTGATTTTGATACCTCCTGTCAAATTTGTCTCTGTATAGAACATTGTGCCTTCCTATACAATAGGCTTTTAAGCTTTGATCTAACATTTCTCTTCCTGCTCAGAAAAGAACAGGGCAGGTAAAATGTCATAATTAGTATTTGCTATAGCAACTATCTGGGCACTTCCTTGGTTTTTCTAGTTTTTTTTAATTTAAAAAATCCAGAAACTGGCCTGTTTCATTGAAACAGTCAGATTCCACAGACCCCGCTGCTTCAGTTTCTGAAATAAAATTGGTATAACACAGACATTTGTTCTTTAGACTCCATTGCTGCTTTGGAACAAGTGCTGATGCCTTCTTTTTTTCTTTCACCTTTTCTTGCTTTCACTCCTGCTTTCTCCCTCCTTTAGCATTAGTACACAAAATCCCAATGTTGAGGGCTGTGAGATCCCAGGGCAGGGGTCCAAGTTTCCAGTTTGTGTGGGTCACATCCAGGCAACACATGGGTTCATGAGGCTGCGAATCTGCCTTGGGAAGTTTTCTTTAAGATCGGATTTCTTTCCTATAGCTGTCAATCTGGATTATACTTATCTCTCTCTTTCTCTCTCTGGCCCCATCTACACTGCCATATAATGCAGTTTGAAACTTGTATAATGTAGCTACACTTACCATGTATTATAATGCAGTTACAAGCTGCATTACACGGTAGTGTAGAAAGGCTCTCATTTTCTTTTTTGGAGATTAATTCGGTCTGTCAAAAAAGAGGCACATACCAGCATACACTTAAACAGGAAATAAAGGATGACTTCTGACATAGAAGTCATTCATATGTAAACCTTTTCATATGGTCAAATACTAAAGACATCATCCCAGGCATTCCCCTGCCCCCATTCTTAAACAGTTGTAATCCACTTTTGAAACAACGTACAACAGAACCCATCATACCAATGCGAGGAGACTTCCTGTCTCCGTCTATGAAGCTTTGTTAAAGAAATGTGTTGTGTTGAAAATGTTAAGAAACCAGGAAGAAAGAAGACAGGGAGAAATCATCTTCTGTGCTCTGAATTCACATGAAAACAAGAAACAGTGAAAAAAGTGGGATGGGATCTGTCAGATTCGCTTGCATTGAATTGTTTTGGTGATGTTGGTGAATGGGTGTTCTTATGGAACGTTTATATGGTATCTCTGTCTTTATTTTTACTCCGGCAGCAATATTACAGGTCCTAAAAATGTCACCCCCGATATCAAAGGCACATTTACTTGCTCTTTTTCCAATGTGATATACACCATCCTGTGAGGGAGGCAGAGAAAACCACCTCTGAATAAATCTTACCAAGAAAACCTCATGTTAGGCTTGCCATAAGTTAGAAGTAACTTGAAGTTACACAACAAATGTAATATTCTTCTGTGCACTTATGTTGCACAAATACAACTCTCTGTATAGGGGAGTAGAAATAGTAATACCCAGTCCTCTGATTCCAAACTATCTCACACCTAATATATTGTCGTTTGATATTAACTCCAACAATGCATCTGAAGAATTGGACTGACATCTACAAAAGATTGTAGTAAAACAAACTAGTTAATCTCTAGGATGCTCCTAGATCCCTGTCTTCTCTCCCCCCCCTTCTGTTTATGTTACAAATACAAGATCTAACTATGTTTGAAGTCCACAAAACTAAATGGATGTTTGCCAAAGCCCAGGTTTAACTGGATTTCTGTCATATTATTTTACTGAGTCACCTCCTGGTAGGAAACAGTCTTGAAAAAGAGAAGTGGGAAATTGTGTCCTCCTATGGTTTTTGTTTTGTAATTGTGCTGCCGTGTATCTCCTCACTTATCCAATAGGGTGGTATTCTTGGTTGCAGAGCTTGAAAATGTTATGCTTTCAGATTACAAATACAAGAACCTTCCAGACTAACAGGACTATTCAAATCTAGAATTCATACATTATACCCATGGGAAGAATAGTACATATTAGTGAAAGTGAAGGCCCCTAAAAGAATAGCAGTCACAAAGGAAACACATTTTATTTCCATGTAAAAATATTAAAAACTAAATGTCAGGTTTAAAAAACCACATATTAATAGAGCTGGAATACAAATTTTATCAATAAAAGCACTGCATTAGGAATCTAATCAGATTAAATTATTTGAGTATAAACTGCTAACTGGGCAAATCAAGGAATGGGCTTGACCTTGAAATTGGCAGTGGATATTTAGATGTGGATGAATACTGTTTTCCCAAATGAAAATAAATGAACAAGCAATTAAATAACTGAAGTGCATCTAATTAGATTTGTATGCTGAGGCATGAGGACATAACGTAACAGTAAACCAGTGACAAGGGTTAGATTTATTAATTCTAACACACTGTTTTTGATTTCAAAATCATGCAGTTTGAGTGATTGTTCCAGTCATAGTAACCTTCTGCTGGAATATATGTTATGCTCATCAGAAAACCAAAACAAATAGAGTGATGAAATAGAAAAAATGTTGTGAAGACAAGGAGTATGATATCCTAATATTTATTTTTAACCTTTAGGTAACATTTCTCTCTACAGGAAGAGACTTCACTTCAACAATAAGAAGAACACCTGATAGTAAGGACCTCATGACATAGAGGTCCAGAATCTGGGGACAGCATGGGAAACCGGGAGGCAGTGGCCAGTTTTTCCTTCTTACCATGGTTGGTTGTGGACTGCCCTCCCACAACTTGCCCCGGAGTGTGGTGGAGGCTCCTTCTTTGGAAGCTTTTAAACAGAGGCTGGATGGCCATCTGTCAGGGGTGCTTTGAATACAATTTTCCTGCTTCTTGGCAGGGGGTTGGACTGGATTGCTCATGAGGTCTCTTCCAAATCTATGATTCTATGCTTCTCAGGACTCCCTCTTAGCATGCTGCTGGCACGCTGCTGGCAGACTGCCAGGATAGAGCCCAATGGAGCCCTGAAGGAAGTATGATGGGCTCTGGCAGACTCTGTCCTGGCAGTGTTCCAGCAGTGTGCTGAGATGTGGAAAAAAACTCTATCTGGTGAGATGGTACGAGCTATTTGACAGTGGAACACACTGTCTCAAACTATGGTGGAAGCCCCTATGAAGGTTGGATAGCTTCTCTTTTGAGTATTTTGCATATTTCTGTATTGCACGAGGTTGGATTGGATAGCCCTTGTGGTCTCTTCCAATTCTATGATTCCAAAAAGGAATGATCTTATGTCTGTTGGAAGACCAGGATTTGGTAATAAGAACAGCTTTACCCAAATACAAAGTGCTAAGACAGAAATTCCAGGATTTAAGATTTTAAAAGAATTGAATGATTTAGAAGTTGCAAATCCTTAAAATATGCATTAATTTGAGATGCAAAAAAGTTAAAGGGAAAATGTTCTTAGTCATGGCAGATGCACTTTATGTCTTCTGTATGTACTTCTGTAGACCTAAAAATAATTTGCTTGGCTAATTGTTCCAGCTATTTTCAAATGTATCCTCAGTATTCTATTGCTCTGCACTTCTTTCAAATGATTTTCAGCTTGTGGTAAACTCCTGAGGTGCTGACATAGCAATTACATTCACAGACCTAGGCGTTCCTTTCATATGAAAAGTTGCTGACACATGAAAAATGACCTAAGGTTAGGATCCTTTTTCCACATTGCCATCTAACCAAGAAGCTTGAATGAAACTTAACACTTTCTATTAGCAGAATGAAACTTAACACTTTCTATTAGGTGGAAGGTAATAGATTTAAAACATTAATTTAATATCCCAAGGAGACTAAATGAATACTGTGAAGTTGAAAATATGTCCCACAGATCTCTTAAAAAGAGAGACAGAAGCTGCATAAATCCAAAATGATTTAGGCAAGAGGAAATGAACAATATGATCTGAATGTGGCATTGAGAGAAACAGTGAACCAAAGTCACTCCATCTCCTCTGTCTATTCTTTAGAAAAGGGCATATTCTCCACTTCTAACTAAGAAACAGCCTGTCTTTCTTTCTTTAGGGAGGCAATTGTTATGACAGTTGGTTCCAAGAAACAGTTTGTGCCCAGCCAATGTGGTCGGCCAGATATGATAAAGATATATGCAGTATGTCACGTCAATAGAAATGCCTATGGGAGTTGTTTACTTCAGGGGAGGTGTCTTTTACCATTGGTGGTGAGCTACACCCCACAGATGCTTACCTCGAAAGAGGTGTTAGCCCATCTGTGAAACCTGATAGAGAAAAAAGGAAACTCCTAGACAAGGGTATATTAGCCTCGCAGCCAGAGGGCTCGAGGCGCGACAGCTTTGTATTGACACTGAGCCTTAGTGTCATTCTGTCCGCCTATTCTACTGCAGTACAATAAAGGTGCTTGCTTTTAAACTCATTTGGGCTTCGAGTGGTCTTCAAAGTGTCTCAGCAAGATCCCGGCCGAAAGCAGTGTGAGGAGCGGCCTGCCGTTCCTCCTGTTCCTGCTTCATTTCTGGTTCCCTGACCGGGAACTCGAAGGCTGAGTATTCGCTGTAGGACCATCTCGGAGCTGCTCTTGGGAGCTGAGAGCGGATCTCCCCCTTCTGGGGTGCGGCAATTGGTTCACGCCGAGACGCGGCCGCGCTTAAGACCGGCGGTTCCTCTTGCGGCACCCAAGGCAGGGTGAGAGGTCCCTCTTCCAAAGCAGGAGTTTTTGAGACAACCACCACCCGGGAGGCGGCCGCCGCGGGAACCTGGACGGGACCTTGATCAGGCAAGTAGAATTTTTTGGTGTGCATTAGTAGGGCTTTGCGGGACTTGTGAGAGAAGTACCGGGGAATCCGAAAGTGCATGTCTTAAAACCGTGTTGAGAGTCCAGGGTTCACGGGGACCTTTGGGGTGGACAAGGAAAAGTCATAAATCCCCAGGGGTAGGAATAGAGCTCTAGGTATTAGGCAATAGAAGTGTTTGAAATTAAGTCATGGGAGGGGGAGGATCAAAGGGGCCAAAGACCCCCCTCCAATGCATGTTGGATCATTTTAAGGAATTTAAAGCGTACACTCAGGAGGAAGGGCTGCAGAAATTTAAACTACGGAATTTGTGTGAAACGGATTGGCCACAGTACCCTCTTTCCCGCCCATGGCCCCCTGAGGGGACAAGTGATCCCAAACTGGCCTTGGAGGCATTAATATATGCAGACCGGGTCCATCCAGACCAGTGGAAGTATCTTGATGCTTGGGGAGCGGTTTTGGAGAAACAGCCTGGGTGGTTAAAGGAATGCAAGTGCATGAATGTTGGTGCCATAGTGGATGAAAGGAACAAAGACACTGGCACGATTAGTGACCGGCGGGAAAAGAAACTGGAAGGGAGAGTTAACCCCTATCCAGACTCGGGAAATCCAGCTGATGAGCCGCAGCCGGTTCCCCCATACACCCCCGCCTTCTATCCCCCGTTGCCGCCTCAACTTGGTCTAGGTGCGATTGGAGGAGCTGGCCCCGCTACGGCCCCACCTTTGCAGGGGCTTGAGGTGGACCCCAGTCTTGAACCGTACCTACCCCCAAAGGAGGAATTTGAGCAAATGTCCCTAGAGGCACAAAATCGGAGGCTTACTAGGGCAATGAAAAAAGCAAAAGAGGCAAGGAAGCGAGAGGCTGGGCGAGAGGAGGGGCTGCGGGAAGGCTGAGGCACTGTGCCCTGTTAGAGAGGTGCCTCAGCTTGTCCCTGTAGCACCGGATGAAGATGGAACACCAAAGTTTGAGACTCGGGTGGTGTATCAGCATGTGCCATTCACTAGCTCGGATCTTCTGAACTGGAAGGCATCTCGACCTTCCTGGACAGAGGACCCGAGGGGAATGGCAAGTCTAGTGGAAGGCATTGTTCAGACCCATAATCCCAGTTGGGTAGATTTGAAACAATTAATAGAAATGTTGCTAACAGCTGAGGAGCGTGTGTTGATGACACAAGTAGGGAAGCAGGAAGCTTTGAAAGAGCATGCAAGCACACACAGTCAGCAAGCAGCAGATGTATACCAGGAAGCGGTATTCCCAGTAGGGCGAGATCCCCGCTGGGACCCTAATGTGCCGGAAAACAAGGATTCTTTGAAGTTGTACCAGCAGTTGATTGTTCGTGCCTTGAGAAAGGGATCCCCACGGATCCCTAACGTAAGGAAAATTTATGAGATGGAACAGAAGAAAGATGAGAGCCCAGCAGCGTTTTTGGAAAGGTTGAGGGAGGCTTTTTTGAAGTACTCTCCGTATGATATGGAAGATCAGGATGATAAGGCTGAAGGGAAGGTGGTGTTGAAGAGTGCCTTTATCAGTCAGTGTGCACCAGACATTCGGAGAAAGCTTCAGAAAAGCCCTGGGCTGGTACACATGACTTTAGAAAGGGTGATGGAGGTGGCTAGCCAGACCTACATGTCCCGTGAGGCTGTGCTGGCCAAGCAGGAGGAGGCAAAGGTGTGTCGGAGAGCAAAGTTGGTTGCAGCTGTGTTTCAAGGAGGAGGGCCCAATGGGCCAGGATGGAAAGGGAGAGGACAAGGCCAGGTGGGAAAGGCCCAGGGGAGCTGCAGGCCCCCTCTGGGGCCGAATGAATGTGCTCGGTGCCACCGTCAGGGGCACTGGAAGAACGAATGTACAATGAATGTTGTGGAAGGACAGGGAAAGGGAGTGCAAGGGAGAAATTGGAGAGGAAAAGGGCGAGGTCGTGGGGCTGGGAAGCAGCCTCGTTGGGGCCCAGTGGCAGCGGGGTTGGCCGACCCAGCCCAGGATGAGCTTGGTCTTGCCATTATGAGGGAAAAGGATGGGTGGCAGGACATCGAGCAACAATAGGACAGACCGGCTCCGAGGCCCCGGGGAAGACATGGGATGGTTCGGATTGGTCCGGGGGAGCCTTTGGTCTGTATGGAAGTTGGAAACCAATCTGTTGAGTTTATGCTTGATTCCGGGGCCTCAAAGTCAGTGGTGAACACGGTTGTGTCTCACCCTACTAGTGAAAATGTAAATATCGTAGGAGCCACGGGGAGGCGAAGAGCCTGCCCCCTATTGGCAGAAAGGGAGTGTTCATTGGGAGGGCACCGGGTTCGGCATAAGTTCATCTATATGCCAGAATGCCCAGTGCCTCTCCTGGGTAGAGACGTTTTGTGTAAAATGAGAGCAGCATTGCTTTTTGAGAAGGACGGATCTCTATTGGCAGGGTTTAGAGAAGGACAGAATGGGCAGGAATTGGATAGGCGTTTGCAAATGGCTTTGGAACTACCAGTGGAGGAGGAATGGAGATTGTACACGGTAATAGAGGAAAGAACCGATTGGGAGGCTTTTGGTGTCCCAAAGGTATGGGCTGAAGATAACCCTCCAGGATTGGCAAAAGATGTTCCACCAGTGGTGATTGAGTTAAAGTTTGTGTAAAATGAGAGCAGCATTGCTTTTTGAGAAGGATGGATCTTTATTGGCAGGGTTTAGAGAAGGACAGAATGGGCAGGAATTGGATAGGCGTTTGCAAATGGCTTTGGAACTACCAGTGGAGGAGGAATGGAGATTGTACACGGTAATAGAGGAAAGAACCGATTGGGAGGCTTTTGGTGTCCCAAAGGTATGGGCTGAAGATAACCCTCCAGGATTGGCAAAGGATGTTCCACCAGTGGTGATTGAGTTAAAGCCCTTTGCCAATCCGGCTGTAGTCCATCAGTATCGTCTCCCTCGGGCGGCGGTGGTTGGAATTGCAGCCTATTTGGAGAAGTTGGAAAAATATGGTATTCTGGTTCCTTGCCAGTCGCCATGGAACACACCCCTCTTGCCAATCCAGAAGCCGGATGGAACTTACCGGCCTGTACAAGACTTACGGGCAGTTAATAAGTTGGTGATTCCTCTTCACCCGGTGGTCCCAAATCCCTACACCCTGCTGAGCCTGATTCCACCTCACCATCAGTGGTTCACGGTCCTGGATCTTAAGGATGCGTTTTTTTGCATCCGCTTGGCTAAGAAGAGCCAGGAGATCTTTGCTTTTCAAAGAGAAGATCCAGAGACGGGACATAAGGGTCAGATGACGTGGGCCAGACTTCCGCAGGGATTTTGCAATTCACCAACGATTTTTGGGCAAGCTTTGGCTCAGGACTTGTTGCCTTTAGTCAAAAATGACAAAGGATGGACTATTTTGCAGTATGTGGATGACATACTTTTGGGAACAGATACTAGAGAACAGTGTCTAGAAGGAACTCAGGCTCTGTTACAGTTCTTGGCAGAGAAAGGTTACAGGGTTTCTAAGAAGAAGGCTCAATTGGTACAGCGAGAGGTTAAGTATTTAGGTTTTCGGCTGGCTCAAGGTTTCCGGAGGTTGGAGGTGGAACGTAAAGAGGCCATCTGTTCCATCCCCACCCCCCAGACGAGGAAACAGATTAGGGAATTTTTGGGGGCGGCGGGGTTTTGTCGCATATGGGTTCCAAATTTTGGACTATATGCTAAACCCCTCCACGAGGCTACAAAAGGGAAATCAGGAGACCCATTGGTGTGGGGTCCAGAGCAGCAACTTGCATTTGAAGACCTCAAGAAAGCTTTGATGTCGGCCCCCGCTTTGGGGCTACCTGATTTGGAGAAGATCTTTTACTTATATGTAGGAGAAAGAAAGGGAGTGGCAGTTGGAGTGTTGACTCAACTTGTAGGGAGCTGGCCTCGACCAGTGGCTTATTTGTCGAAGCAACTGGACAATGTGGCTTGTGGATGGCCCCCATGCTTAAGGGCTGTGGCAGCTGCTGCAGTCCTTGTGGAAGAAGCAAATAAATTGACTTTGGGACAGCCCATCATTTTGAAGTGTCCCCATGCTGTAGTAACTTTGATGGAACATAGGGGGCACCATTGGCTCACAAACAGCCGAATGTTAAAATATGAAAGCATGTTGGTGGACAATCCTCAGGTCACCTTGTCTGTGTGTGCAACCTTAAACCCAGCTACCCTTCTACCGGTGGAAGAAGGAACCTTGATGCAGCACGATTGTTTGGAAGTGATGGATGAGGTCTACTCAAGTAGGCCGGATCTCAAAGATGTACCTTTTCAAACCCCTGAGTGGGTGCTTTTCACAGATGGTAGCAGTGTGGTGATTGCAGGACAACGAAAAGCAGGGTATGCTGTGGTGACAGGGGATGGGAAGACCTTGGAGGCAAAGGGGTTGCCCCCAGGGACCTCCGCCCAGAAGGCTGAGCTTATTGCTCTCACCAGGGCTTTACAATTGGCAAAGGGAAAGAAAGTCAATATTTACACCGATTCAAAATATGCTTTCACTACCCTGCACGCCCACGGTGCCATATACAAAGAAAGGGGTTTGTTAACCTCAGCAGGACAACAGATTAAGAATGCTATTGAAATTCTACAGCTTTTGGAAGCAGTATGGGAACCAAAGGAAGTAGCCGTAATGCATTGTAAGGGACATCAGTACGGTGAGGACCAAGTGACTCAAGGGAATCGGCTGGCTGACCAACAAGCCAGAAGAGCGGCTGAGTGTAATGCACCGGAGGAGACAGTGTTGCAATTAGATGTCACACCAGTGATAGGGACCATGACCTACTCTGCAGGGGAATCGGCTGGCTGACCAACAAGCCAGAAGAGCGGCTGAGTGTAATGTACCGGAGGAGACAGTGTTGCAATTAGATGTCACACCAGTGATAGGGACCATGACCTACTCTGCAGAGGAAAAGGAGTGGGCTTTGAATGAGGGAGCGAGGTGGAAGGACGGGATTCTTTTATTACCCAATAGCAAGGTATTTGTCCCCAAGGCTTTAGGATGGGAATTGATAAAGGAAGTACATAGGCAAACTCATTTGGGAGCAACCAGTATGGCAACGTTACTTGAAAGACAACTCTGGGTGGATGGTTTGCACGCATTGGCTAGGGCCGCCGCCTTGAGGTGCGAAATCTGTGCGAAGAACAATCCCAGGGCGGGGCCCTTGCTTCCCCCAGGAGTGCAGTATTTGGGTAAAACACCTTTCGAGTCCTTATCTGTAGATTTCACTGAAATGCCAAAGGCCCAACGGTTTCACTACATGTTAGTGATGGTTTGTACATATTCAGGGTGGGTGGAAGCGTATCCCACCACCACTGAGAGAGCAGTAGAGGTTAGTAGGGCACTGTTAAGGGACATTATCCCTCGTTATGGAATACCCCTACACATTGGAAGTGACAATGGTCCAGCTTTTGTTCACCAGGTTATAGGGTGCCTAGCTCAGTTGTTAGGAACTACTTGGAAGCTGCATTGTGCCTATAGACCTCAATCATCAGGGAAGGTAGAAAGGATGAATAGGACTTTGAAAGGGACTCTGTCAAAAATGTGTCAGGAAACTGGGATGTCTTGGATTCAAGTACTACCAATGGCCTTGTTGAAAGTTAGATGCACTCCCACCAAAGTTCTGGGCTTGTCGCCATTTGAATTGATGTATGGAAGGCCCCCTTTAAAGATAAAGCCATTACAGGGAGACATAAGGGAGTTGGGAAACCAAGAACTGATAAAGGAGGTTCAGGCTTTGGGAATAGTATTAAATAAATTGTATAATTATACTGGTATGTTGCGGTATCCCTTCCCTGTTACTGCACTACACTCTTTCTCACCAGGAGACCAGGTGTGGCTAAAAGATTGGAGGTGTGATCCCCTGGGACCGAAGTGGAAGGGCCCGCTGCAAGTGCTGTTAACAACTCCCACTGCTGTGAAATTGGAGGGTGTGAAACCGTGGGTGCACTATACCCGCATCAAGAAGGACTATACTGCTAAGGACCCAGACTTTTGGCAAGTAAACCTGAATCCGGACAATCCACTAAAATTCACTCTCAACAAAGTTAAGGGACAGGCTAAGGGCTACCCTGAAGAGGAGGGGGATCCAGCTTCATAGAGCTCCTCCCCCGGGGGTCAGGCGACCAAGCGCCGCCCTGAAAGGAAGGAGGGTAGCTTCCGAGAGCTACCCCAAAGACCGAAGGGACATTGGGGGTTGGGAGTGGGATTGTGTATTGTCTGTGAATTGAATATTGATTGAACACTGTTACTAACACTTATATATGCATACCTGAACATGAAGTATCTATGCTATCTGATACTACTGAGTATGGCCCCCTTGAGGGAGATCCAAGGAGGATGGGAACAGAATATATTCCATCAATTAATAAGAGAAATAGTGAATGAATCCAAAATAACCAATTGCTGGGTTTGTGCCCATGGTCCTCATTCACAATATGAGGGATGGTCCATGGTAGTGGGAACAGTATTAGACCTGAAGGGTTGGAAAATTTTCACACCATGGACCTATAACATGGAAAAAGGGTTAAAGGATTCAGCCCAGTTTATGTTAACTCACAGGGTACCTCCGCCAGAGGCCCCTGTATGTATCACTCGAGGTAAGGCAGAAATCCAGAAAGGAATTCACGAGGATTTTCCTCAGGCAATACCAATAGATCTTGGAGATTACCCCCACTGTAATGTTACTTATACTGTGTACTATGGTCATCTCCAAATGAAAATAGAGGAGCCAAAACAGGAGGACAAACCCCAGAGGTTGAGGAGGGAGACCCCAGGATCATCAGGGGGAGATGAAAAACTCCCCCCTCCTCGTCCTGGACGCCAGGGAAGAATTGGGAGTCTCCCAAAGGGATCTACAGCACGAAAGGCAGGGACGAGGAAGGCCCCGTCAGGGGCGGATGGAGCGGTAGCCCTTCCCCGTCACCTAGATTCTGATCAACCTCAGGAAAACCTCCCATTAGAACAACGAATCCCCGGAGGATCAAAACCCGGTATCCTTGTTGACAATCATGCCCTAGGAGGCCTGCCTTCAGGTTTCTATTGGATATGTGGGCAGTGGGGTGGAAAGGTTTTACCCCCACTCTGGACAGGTACATGTACCATCGGTACCTTAGCCCCGACCAACATAGAAATCTATCCTAAACAGCAGCCTCATTTGACTTGGGGGACCAAACGTGGAGGATATCGGGCAAAGAGAGCCTATGATGAGAAATATGGATACGATCCAGATGAAACATACCTTAGTGAAGGAGCCAGGTTGGGAGCCATCTTGTTTCCCCAGGTGGGGGTGGCCCTCAATGTGAGACAGATTAGGAGGCTATCAGCACAAATGGAAAGATTGGCAAATAATACCGTTAAAGGGATCAAAGCTCTCCAAACAGAGATTGATTCATTGGCAGGAGTTCTAATGCAGCACAAGCTGGCTTTAGACTATCTTCTATCCGCTGAGGGCGGATTATGTGTCTGGCTTAACGTGACGTGTTGCCATTATGTCAATGAATCAGGAGAGATTGAATCCGATATGGAAAAGATCAATAACATAGTCTCCACCATTAGGGCAGGATACTCCCCAAAAGGAGCGGGTTGGTTCGATTGGTTAACATCCTGGCTACCAAATTTCCAGTGGTTAAAAGATATTGTTGTTGTTGTTTTTATTATTTTGCTACTTATAGTTCTTGTAATAATGTTACTGCCATGCTTGTTGTCTTGCTTAAGAAATATGGTTGAAAAGGTGGTAAATGCTTCCAACACAAGGATTAGACAGAGGAAAAACGTCATAAACATGAAACTAGGAAAAATGAAAAAGGAAAAACTCCCTCATAATTTGAGAAATGATAACTAAGAGCTTCTCTCTTAGTTCCAAGAAAAAAATGGGGGAATGAGAGAAACAGTGAACCAAAGTCACTCCATCTCCTCTGTCTATTCTTTAGAAAAGGGCATATTCTCCACTTCTAACTAAGAAACAGCCTGTCTTTCTTTCTTTAGGGAGGCAATTGTTATGACAGTTGGTTCCAAGAAACAGTTTGTGCCCAGCCAATGTGGTCGGCCAGATATGATAAAGATATATGCAGTATGTCACGTCAATAGAAATGCCTATGGGAGTTGTTTACTTCAGGGGAGGTGTCTTTTACCATTGGTGGTGAGCTACACCCCACAGATGCTTACCTCGAAAGAGGTGTTAGCCCATCTGTGAAACCTGATAGAGAAAAAAGGAAACTCCTAGACAAGGGTATATTAGCCTCGCAGCCAGAGGGCTCGAGGCGCGACAGCTTTGTATTGACACTGAGCCTTAGTGTCATTCTGTCCGCCTATTCTACTGCAGTACAATAAAGGTGCTTGCTTTTAAACTCATTTGGGCTTCGAGTGGTCTTCAAAGTGTCTCAGCAAGATCCCGGCCGAAAGCAGTGTGAGGAGCGGCCTGCCGTTCCTCCTGTTCCTGCTTCAGCATTATCTTCTTGTTCATGATCATAAGTATGTTAAGGAGACGTGAGCTTCGCTGAAATTAATAAGTCTGGTTTTCAAATACAGTATGACCCCCCCCCCCCCATCCCTGGAGGATATGTCCCTGGACTCTGTGAAGTATTATCCACAAAACCGTGAATAATATTGAAATGAAGGATTACTGGTTCAAGAATACCATAGAGCATTCTGGAGTGCCTAAAATGCCCAGAGAGAACATATTTTGTTGGACATGGATAAATGAAAACACAGATATTAGTTGTACGAATATGTGGGGTGGGTGTTCATACTTTTGAATTAGATTGATCTTACCAGCAAAGTACAATTGAGAATTTTGAGCTAAAACTTGAAGGATATAGAAAAAGTAAAAAGAAGAGATGTTATACTTGAGGCTGAATCCAGAGTTGAACTCAGGCAATTTTAATTTGTGCTGGAAGAATTGAGAGGACTACAACTTTCAGCAGTCCCTGTTCCCCCCTGCAGTGCTTTTTATCTTTTATAAAGCTGTTTCAGAAAGCCAGCAAACTCTGCTGAATAGCCTGCAAGGTGCTGCTGGGGTCTCTAGGGGAAGGCGGAGAGCTTGTAACATTACTTTCAAGAAAAATGAATATAATAATATATTGAAACCAGTAATAAATGTGCATAGTGCACACAATCCCAGAGGCAAACAAGAAGCAATAACAGTTTAATTCAAGACAGCCCTGAGCAAAGGAATAGGCTACTACAATGCCAACAAGTCCATATGTCTGAAAAATCCCTACAATTTATAAGAAGCAATTAGAAGTTTTGTGGATCAGCCGAAGTCCAAATGTTTTCAGTACAAAATGCATTAGGGCAATAAAGGTCACAATTGGTATAAGAAGGAATATGAGAACATAGTCTAAGAAGTGCTCTACTTGTTTAGGCCAAAGTCCTCTGTAGTTGAGCATTCATTTTCTGATCTTGAAGTGTATCCTTTGAACAAGAAAGGAGACAAATACACTTGCCCCTTATCCCAGGCCTTGTTGCACTTTTACTGGAGGTGTTCAAATGATGCCTCCAACAACAACAACCTTTATTTATATCCCACCACCATCTCCCCAAAGGGGACTCGGGGTGGCTAACATGAGGCCAAGCCCAAAATTACAGCAAAATAAAATACAAATACAGCAAAATAAAATACAGACAAGTAAAAATGCCATCAAAATAAATATATGAAATAACAAAATAAAATAAACAATAAAATAAAATGACATGATAGAGAAATGGAACACAGTGGATGGGACAAATGTATTAGAAATAAAATTGATAAAATTGATAAAACCCTAGATGAGATAAGTAGAATGTGTTTCTGAGGGGGGAACTCAAAA